GTGGGGTTGGGCTGGTGTGAGGAGGGCGGACAAGTGTGTGGGTGGACTGTGGTGTGGGGGGTGTGTGGGGGTGTGGGTGTGTGAGGTGTGTGGGGGTGTGGGGTGTGTGGGTGTGGGTGTGTGGGGTGTGTGGAGTTGGGACTAGTGTGAGGAGGGCGGACAGTGTGTGGGCTGGGACTATGGTGCTCTCAGCTCTCACCCGAGGTTTCCTTTTGGCTACAGTGAATGGATCTCCTGCGACCATCACCATAGAGACCTGTGAGGACCCTGGGGACTGGACCGCGGCCATTGGAGGTACGAGTTTCCTCCTTGTGGGCTGCTCACAAGCTCTGGCGGGGTGGTGGGGTCTCTGCCCGCCTCAGGCCACACAGGGGCTCCAGGAATCCAGGTGGGACCAGTGGGGTCTTTGTGGAGAAAGGTCTGGCTCCAGCAGCGTTATCTTGGGTGCTCTGAGGCTGAGCTCTGTGGCTGACCTGCTAGATTTCAGCACTGTGGATGTGTCTGGGCAGTGCAAGCCCAGCTCAGTGCCAGGCGCTGCCGGCTCTGGCATGGTGTCCTCGTGGCTGTGGTGGCTGCCCCGTGTAGCAGCGCTTTCCCTGCCCACTGAACCCACTCTTTCCCTCACAGATGACACATTTACCTTCTGGCGGGGGCTGAAGGACGCCGGCCTGCTGGACGAGGTCATCCAGGAGTTCCACCAGGAGCTGATGGAGACCATGAGAGGCCTGCAGCAGCGGGTCCAGGACCCTCCCCTGCAGCTTCGAGGTGAGGAGCTGCATCTTCCCTCTTGCCGGCTCCTCAGCCCAGGAGAGTCCGCAGGAGGTGAGGCCACTGGCCCTCCTGCCCCAGGCCCTTCTGTGCTGCTGGGTTGGAGGCTGAATCTAGGCTTGGGACCCTCGCTGTGCTGAGGCTGAACCTGGTGGGAGGATCGCCTTGGTGCATCTCAGTCTTCTCCCTCTGAACCGGACTCCTGGCTGGCCGGGTTCCTGAGGAGCAGCCCCAGAGTGGTGTCCGGCTGTCTAGGAAGGGCCCGGGTTCCCACCGAGTGTCCGCGTTGCCCGTGGTGTTCCGGCTCTCTGGGAAGGGCCCGGGTTCCCACCGAGTGTCCGCGTTACCGTTGGTGTTCCGGCTGTCTGGGAAGGGCCCGGGTTCCCACCAAGTGTCCGTGTTACCGTTGGTGTTCCGGCTGTCTGGAAAGGGTCCGGGTTCCCACCGAGTGTCCGCGTTGCCCTTTCAGATGCTGTGCTCCTCAACAACATTGTGCAGAACTTCGGCATGCTAGACCTGGTGAAGAAGGTGCTGGCCAGCCACAAGTGCCAGATGGACCGCTCGCGGGAGCAGTATGCCCGGGACCTGGCAGGTACGCCGAGACCGCCCTGGCCCCCGGGCGGCAGGCTGAGGACCTGGGAGCCCACGAGTTCACCCCCTGGCTGTGCGTCCACATGCATTCCCTGGAGTCATAGCCACCACAGGGAGCTTCTGAGGAGGGTCTGAGACAGGCCCTGGGTCAGTGCGGGAGGGTCCGAGACAGGCCCTGGGTCAGTGCGGGAGGGTTTGAGACAGTATTGCCACACTTGCACACAGGCCCTGGGTCAGTGCAGGGGGTTCTGAGACAGTCCCTGGGTCAGCGCGGGAGGGTCTGAGACAGCATTGCCACATTTGCACACGGGCCCCGGGTCAGTGCAGACCCTGGGTCAGCACAGGCTTGTATCTACCCCGAGGGCCATCTTGGGCCCCGTCTCCCACAGACCTCACCTTTGGTGAGTGGCCACGTGGTCATCTGGGTTTGTGGCATCAAGTGAGCAGACCTGGGTTGCCACTGATCCAGGAGCCACCCAGATGGTGTGGCGTGTCTGCCCCCGTCCCCTGCACGCTGCCGTCCATGCCCCCGTCCTCTGTGTGATGCCGTCTGCCCCTCCCTGCAGCCCTGGAGCAGCAGTGTGATGAGCATCGCCGCCGAGCCAAGGAGCTGAAGCACAAGTCCCAGCACCTGAGCAACGTGCTCATGACGCTGACTCCGGTCTCCCTGCCACCGCCTGTGAAGCGGCCCCGGCTTGCACGTGCCACATCAGGACCGGCCGCCATGGCCTCGCAGGTGCTCACCCAGTCTGCCCAGCTGGCGCTTGGCCCGGGCGTGCCCGTCCCGCAGCTGACCAGCGTGCCCCTTGGTAAAGTGGTGTCCACCCTGCCCTCCACCGTCCTGGGCAAGGGTTCCCTTCAGGCACCCCCTGCCAGCTCCCCAGCCTCCCCACTGCTTGGGGGCTACACAGTCTTGGCCTCCTCCGGTTCCACCTACCCCAGCACAGTGGAGATCCACCCGGACGCGTCCAGCCTCACGGTCCTGAGCACGGCCGCCGTGCAGGACGGTAGCACAGTGTTCAAGGTGGTCAGCCCGCTGCAGCTGCTCACCTTGCCTGGCCTGGGCCCCACCCTGCAGAACGTGGCCCAGGCCTCGCCTGGCGCCAGCACAATTGTGACAGTGCCCACAGGGGCTGCCCCCGGGCCCGAGGAGCACACGGCCACCATTGAGGTGGCTGCCGTGGCAGAGGACCACGAGCGGAAGTAGCCGACGGGAGGGCGAGGCCCCTGGGACGGACGGGGCTGGCTGCCTCTCAGCTGCGGCAGCAGGGAACGGGCAGAGGCCGCAGGGCTGGCTCGGGCAGGTGGGTCACGTGGGCTGCAGAACCAAAGAGAGGAATCGCCAAAACAAATCACGAGAAGAGAGAAGGGGACAGAACAGCGAGAGCAACCTGGAAATCGGTCTTCAGGTCCCACGTTTCCCCCCCTTTTTTCTTGGGAAATATATTTTTCCATCTGTTGCTTATTAATACTGTTTACACATTGGGCCTTGATCAGGAGCCAGGTGGGCGGGGGCGGGGGGGAGCCTGGGTGCAGCCGAGGCAGAGGAAGCAGAGCCAGGGTGCCGAGCACGACCCTGCAGGTGCCGGACGCGGTGCAGCGGGTGGCGAGGTCCCGGTGTCTGCACCCAGCCAGGTCCCTGGGGATGCTACTAACACATGACTTGGGAGCTGAGCCCAAGTGTGAACCCTATGGATCCTATGGATTTGGTTTCTTCCCACAGTTTTCTGTAGGTTTAGTGTGGCTGGCACCCCGTTCTCCTCCTGTGTGGGAACGTGCACCCGGAGCTTGGGGTGCAGATCCCGGTGGGTGCCCTCCTCCCCCACCCCCAGCCGGTGCTCAGGTGGCCCAGGGGCCGCACAGATGAGGCGTGGTCCAGGCATTGTTGCACATGTACTGAGGGTGTTTTTAAGTGAATTGCTTAGTAGGCTTCTAGGAAGAGTCGGATTTATAGCATTTTCAACCAAAATAATGCTGAGTGCCTAGGCTTCCCGAGTTAGCTCTGGGGGTGGCCCCTGAGCCCCTGTGAGTGCACCTGACCGGGTGCGGAGGTCCTGGGCAGCCTCTGCCTGAGCTGGCCCCTCCCAGGGATCTGAGATCCGTGAGGTGTGTCCTGAGGGCTTCAGTCCTGGGGCAGGGGCATAAACAGAACCAGTTGCTATGGAGGTGGAGGATTCACGTGGGGGCCCTTCGGCTTGGGCTGCTTGGCCACAGAACAGCCCCCGGCCCCCATGCAGCCCCTGGGCTGGCCCTCGGTGGTCTCTGTCCAAGGGAGAGCCTCTGGGTGTTTAGGAGGCTGCCCGGGTGGGCTGGTCAGGGCAGCTGCCAAAGGTGGAGCCCAGAGCCTGTCTGGAAGGGCTGTCCATGACTGTCCCCAGACCTGGCCTTGGACTCAAGGAAGACCAGGCTGAGGCCCCTCCAGGCCAGGGCCCTGGGGCAGACATCTCAGGGAGCAGCCAGCCCAGGGCTCCTGCCGTCTCCAGCAGGGCATGTCCCAGGAGGACCCTGAGGGCCAGAGGCCCCTGGATGCTCCTCCTGATTCTGTCGGCAGCTGAAGGCCCGTCTGAGGCCCCGCAATGCGAGGGTCCCGTGTTCCACTTCAGTGCTCCGAAGGAAACTGGCTGGCTGTCCGTCCAGCGAGCGGCCCAGACCCCACCTCTGTGCCGTTGTCACCAGGGCCCTGTCCTGGCTGCCCCCACCCATGTCAAGCTACTGAGGCTGTGTCTTGTTTGTTTTCTCTGTTACGTTTTTGTTTGCTGTTTGCTGTTGTCACAGTCAGCTGGTTTCGGCGTGATGTTGACCTTTTGATGTACATACTCCGTTTTAAACTCATTTCCACTCCAGTTGAGTTCTGCAGCGTGCAGCGGTATGACCTTACGGGGTTCAGGAGGGCCCCGTAGCCCCCACCCCACCAGCTCAGAACCTGTCGCTAATTCAGCTGCCTGTGACCTTGGGACCTGCAACCTTCCAGCTGCTTCCCTTTGTCAGAGTCACGAGTGGGTCTGCCTTGGCAGCCCTCGCTGAACAGAACTTCCAGTGGGTTGTGGGTTCATTTCCTTTCTTTTTAAGAACAAGGTTGGGACCTTTTCTGCTCCTGCCCTTCAGCTATTGAGGCATTGGGAGAGGAAGTTAATTTCAGAGCCATACAAAAATAAGCCACAACCAGCTTCAGAATTAATTCCCAATCCCCCATTCCAGCAGGGCTGGGAGCCCATTCCCAGTGCTTCCCAAGGCCCTCAGGGACGTCTGCCGCCAACCCAGCTGCTTCTGGCAGGGGTTCCAAGCCCGAGCATGGGGAAGGGCCCTGGAGAAGCCCCCATCCTCACGGGAACCACACTGCAGTGGGCTGGGGAGGTCGTCAGCACTGCCCCCAGCTCCTCCAGGTCCTGCTGGCTCCTCCGGGGCAGGGTTCCCTGGACCTCCCAGTTCTGCACCTTGGGGCCAGCCAGTACTCAGAGAGGAAGACCTTCTCAACCACATACAGAACACAGGTTTTCATGGCTGCCTTTGGTTTGGTTTTCTGAGAAGATAGGATTGGATTGGATTTTGCAGAGGGCGAGAACTTCTCTGTGCCTGCTCAGAGGCGCCCTGGGGAAGGGCCGTGTTTGAGTTTTGCTTTGTATGTTGTTTTGCAAGTATCTGCCTGGTACTTTGATTTAAAATAAAAACAATTTTCATAGTTTGAGTGTCTATCTCTTGGAATGAAGTGTGGAGAGAAATCAAGTCTATAAACATGCCCAATGCAAACAGCGCCGGCTGCCACCCCCGCCCCGGGCCACTCACACCCACATGCTTAGTCCTTCCAAGTAGCCTGGGGGCTTCAGGACCCTTCCAGGGTGTCCCGAGGTCAAAGCTGATTTCATCACAGCAGGTGCTCTGTGCCCTTCTCCTTCTCTCCCCAGCACCCATTGGAGTTGTCAACAGGCCTGTTGGGAGGATCATGGCTGTTTTAGTCATTAGTGCTACTGCAACCAAATACCACAGGCTGGGGGGCTTGCAAGCAACAGAGATTCATTTCTGCAGTTCTGCACGCTGGCAAGTCCGAGATCAAGAGCATCAGCCAATTCGGTGCCTGGTGAGGGTTTTGAGGGTGTCCTGCAAGTCGCTGGAGGACAATAGTAAGAACAGCCTTGGCGTCGGAGGCACCACACCCACGGGCAAGGAGAGGTCACAGCGGCACAGGGGCCTGCACCCACCAGTCGGGAGCTCAACAGACTCACCCCCAGGGGAGCACTTGCTCCCCTCTCCCAGGGCTCAGTCCCAGAGCCGCCTTGTCACCGATGCTGTTCCCCTCCCTGCTGCCATTGTCCACCCAGGGCCATAGGAACCTGCACACCAGCCACAGGCCGGCCTCCCAGACTCACGGCCAGGCAAGAGGCAGACACAGAAGTCCACACTGTGTGGTTCCACTTAGGAAAGTTGGACGCTTCCCTCAAGGCAGAATGGCGTCGAAAGCCGGGTCACTGGGTGCCATCTGGGGTGGTGGCTGGAGGGGCACAGGGCGCTGGTTGCAAGAGTCCACTCTGAAACCTTCCCCTCTGCCATGGCTGCTCTCCCACGCCTGTGCCCTGCTGCAGCCCAGAGCTGACAAATGCACAGGCATGTCCTTCCAGCACACATTGGCACGGGACCACCCTCCCCACAGGCCATCTGCCAGCTCCTCAGATTCCATGCGTACGAGACAGAGCTCCTGCTCCATATTCCCTCCCATGCTCAGTCCCCATCACACCCCGTGGGGGAGGGGAGCACCAACACCTGCCCACTGGCTCAGCCCACCTTCCTGCAACCTCACATCCACGATGCATTCCCTTCTTGTGAGTCCAGGCCCCCTCCATCTCTCTCGGGTCAATAGAACTACCTGACTCCCACCTCTGGCCCTTCCTACCCTCCTGCTACCCATTCTCTACGCTGTGACCCTTCCCGTTTGCTTACACGGCCCAATCACCCCCATCATCCCCTCTGGCCCTGAAGGGAGCTATACCCCTCAGTATCCCACCATGATACCTCCTGCTCCTGATACTTCATGGGGTTTCAGAGGCCACAAGATGCAGACCTACAAGGGGTCATGTCTTGTACCCACTGAGTGTCCCTGGTGGCCGACTGCAGCACTGGCCACTCCTCAGCTGAGGACACAGGAGTGGGGAATGGGCTGTGGCCTGTCCAGCCCTGTCCAGCCCAGGGCACTCCAGAGGGCAGAGTCCCCACAGAGGGTGGAGTGCTTTGTGACATGCCACTGTGTGGATGGGCCACAGTGTACCGTTCAGTTACTGAGGGACATCTTGGTTGATTCCCAAGTTTTGGCAATTTTGAGTAAAGCTGCTGTTAAAAACCCTCATGCAAGTTTTTGTGTGGACATAAGCGTTTAACTGGTTTGGGTAAATACCAAGGGGCGAAACTGCTAGATTGTGTGGTAAGAATGTATTTAGTTTTGTAAGAACTGCTAGATTGTGTATTTAGTTTTGTAAGAACTGCTAGGTTGTGTGCTAAGAATGTATTTAGTTTTGTAAGAACTGCTAGGTTGTGTGGTAAGAATGTATTTAGTTTTGTAAGAACTGCTAGATTGTGTGCTAAGAATGTATTTAGTTTTGTAAGAACTGCTAGGTTGTGTGCTAAGAATGTATTTAGTTTTGTAAGAACTGCTAGGTTGTGTGGTAAGAATGTATTTAGTTTTGTAAGAACTGCTAGATTGTGTGGTAAGAATGTATTTAGTTTTGTAAGAACTGCTAGGTTGTGTGGTAAGAACGTATTTAGTTTTGTAAGAACTGCTAGGTTGTGTGTTAAGAATGTATTTAGTTTTGTAAGAACTGCTAGATTGATTGTGTGTTAAGAATGTATTTAGTTTTGTAAGAACTGCTAGATTGTGTTAAGAATGTATTTAGTTTTGTAAGAACCGCTAGATTGTGTGCTAAGAATGTATTTAGTTTTGTAAGAACTGCTAGATTGTGTGGTAAGAACGTATTTAGTTTTGTAAGAACTGCTAGTTGTGTGGTAAGAATGTATTTAGTTTTGTAAGAACTGCTAGATTGTGTGTTAAGAATGTATTTAGTTTTGTAAGAAACTACTAAAGTGTCTTCTGCCAGTGGAGGCACCACCTCACACTCCCGCCAGCAATGAATGAGAGTTCCTGTTGCTCCACGTCCTCACCAGCATTTGGCATCGTCAGTGTTTTGGGTTTGGGACATTCTTTATTTTTATTTTTATTTTTTCAAGATGGAGTCTCACTCTGTCACCTAGGCTGGAATGCAGTGGCAGCATTTCGGCTCACTGCAACCTCCGACTCCTGGGTTTAAGTGATTCTCCTGCCTCATCCTCCCGAGTAGCTGAGATTACAGGTGTGCGCCACCATGCCTGACTAATTTTTGTACTTTTAGTAGAGATGGGGTTTCGCCATGTTGGCCAGACTGGTCTCGAACTTCTGACCTCAGGTGATTCCCCTGCCTCGGCCTCCCAAAGTGCTGGGATTACAGGTGTAAGCCACTGCGCCCGGCCGAGAGCCAATCTTCCATCCCACCCCAGACTCCTGAGTGTGACTCTATTTCTGGACTCTCTGTTCTGCCCTGGACCTGCGCATCCACACCGGGTTCAGTGACTTTGCAGTGTGGTGTGTGTTTAGTAAGTCGTGCCAGCACCTGCTGTGACTCCTTTTTAGTCATCATCCTGGTTTGGGCATCAGGACACGCTTGTAATCCTGGCACTCAAGGAGGCCAAGGTGGGTGGTTTGCTTGAGCCCAGGAGTTCAACAGCAGCCTGGGCAGCATTGAGAAACCCCATCTCTGAAAACAGAAAAAACTCCAAAATAGCTAACTGTGGTGGTGTGCACCTGTAGTCCCAACTGCTCAGGAGGCTGAGGTGGGAAGACTGCTTGAGTCAGAGGTCGAGGCTGCAGTGAACTGTGATGGCATCACTGCACTCACGCCCGGGCGATGGACCGAGACCCGGTCTCAAAAAAAAAAAAAAACAACAACAAAACCCAAAGTCCTGCCCAGCGTTGCTTGGTGATGTAATAATGCTTTTCCAAATGAACGTGAAAGTGCCCACCGTGAGATTGCAGGTTAATTTAGGAAGAACTCACATCTTTGTGTGATGTGAAAAGCCTCCCCATCCAGGAACACGGCGTTCCGCACAAGTTCTCGCAGCGTTGTGTGCACGCGGAGCCCGCTCGGCCCCTGGGGCTGCTGTCGTCGGCGGTCCCGCCCTCTCCGAGGAGCTCGAACGTGATTGGTCCGCGGAGAGGCTCCCTGGTGGTTGGCGGTCCCGCCCTCTCCGAGGAGCTCGAACGTGATTGGTCTGCGGAGAGGCTCCCTGGTGGTTGACGGCGCACCCAGCCGACCTCCCGAGGTAGCTGTGAGCCCCCAGCCCGGCCCTCCCCACGAGGTGCTGGCCTTGCATGGCAGCCTTGCTTCCTTGTTTCAGCGGCAGCATAACTGTCCGTTACCTACTGCTGCAGAGCAGATCGCCCCAAAGCTCAGTGGCTTAAAACAACGTAGATGTTTATTTTATGTATTTATTTGTTTTGAGACGGAGTCTTGCTCTGTCACCCAGGCTGGAGTGCGGTGGCACAATCTCGGCTCACTGCAACCTCCGCCTCCTGGGTTCAAGCAATTCTCCTGCCTCGGCCTCCTGAGTAGCTGGGACTACAGCTGCCCGCCCCCACCCCTGGCTAATTGGATGTTTATTTTAAACAACATAGACATCTAACAGCTGGGCGTGGTCTAGGTGGGAGGGTTAGGCCTCAGGGTCTCCCTGAGATGGCAGTAAGGCTGGGGCTGGGACTCGAGCTGCAGGTGGGCTGGAGGCCTCAGCTCTTCCATGGGGCCTCCCCACAGGGCTGACCCAGAGCCAGTCCAGAGAGCAAAGCGCCAGGCGTGCTGACTCTGGGACCCGGCGGCCACTTGGCCATTCCTGCCATATCCTGGTTAGTGACAGAAGGGACATGGGGTCGGAGCAACACCAGGGCCACAGGCAGGTCCTGCCGGTCAGAGGACCCAGGCTTCCAGGTCAGCTGAGCCTGGATTTCTCCAGGGCTGATGGAGTCACCAGGCCCTCCTGCCGTCCAGGGCCGGGAAGGGTCTCACCCCCTCCGCCTGGCATACCATTGGGGCGTCTCTGGTGTGTAAAGGGGCTGGACGGGGCGTGGGGCCCTGGAGGGGTGCGGGAAAAGAGTCTCCACCCCCAGCCATCCCCGCCTCCGACGGCACTGGTCCTTTAGGGAGGGGCGCCCTTCGCTCGCTGGCGCTTCCCCGAGGTTCCCTCGCAGTGGGGGCCGAGCTGTCGCTGGAGGCGGGGCAGGGCGGGGCGGGGCGGGGGGCGGTGAGGTAATTTCCGCGATCGGCGTCAGTGCCCGGGGCAGAATCGAAACTGAGAGCTCCTGGGCAGGCTCGGCAGGGCAGGCAGCTCCAGGAGGGTGAGCGCAGGCATCCTAGGGCAGAGGGGCGCGGGCACAGGGGCCCAGGGGCAGCTCCAGGAGGGTGAGCGCAGGCATCCTAGGGCAGAGGGGCGCGGGCACGGGGGCCCAGGGGCAGCTCCAGGAGGGTGAGCGCAGGGGTCCCAGGACGGAGGGGCGGGGACACGGGGGTCCAGGGGCAGCGCCAGGAGGGTGAACGCAGGGGTCCCAGGGCGGGGAGGGGGGGCACGGGGGTCCAGGGGCAGCTGCAGGAGGGTGAGCACAGGGGTCCCAGGGCG